AAAAATATTATATATATATATATATATATATATATAATGAAACTAAAAGTATTCCACCTCCTACTGTCCAGGGAAAACTTTTTCTTTAAACATCTTGATGTGTGGTTGATTCTCATTTGCAGATTCCATATTTGCAAATTCACCTCTCAGAGATTTATTTGTAACCCCCAAATCAATTCTTGTGGTCCTCTCATGGTCCTTCACAGATATGTGCAAAATGGCAAAAATCTGAGTCACCCAATACATGCATTCCCAGCTAATTCTTCATTTCTTTGATAAAGATGTTTTGTTTTTTAAAAAGACAATTTTTTTTTTTTTCGAATAGTAGCATCATGTAGTGGAAAGAGCACAGGTGTTGGAGGCAGACTAAGGTTTTAATTCCAGGATTTATGATCTGTGTGACCTGGGGTGAGTTACTTTTTGAACCACAATTCCCACTTGTAAAATGACATTAAAACAACTCTGTCATTGAGTTTGTAGAATTAAAGCAGTTTATGTGTGTGAAGTATCCTGACATTAGAATGAGCTCAGTCTGTACCAAGTGCTGTTGAAGACGTGATCCCCGCCCTGAAGGATCTCCCCTGCTACTGGGGGAGGCAGCATGTAAACACAAGCACTTTGGTTAGTGCTGGGAAGGATGAACCCAGGTGCTGAGAGCACAGAATTGGAGGGGGAGGTTTAGACAAGGTTTCTTGGAGGAGGTGCCAGCCTTTCAAAGGGTGTGTGGAAACTAGCCAGATAACAGGAGGGGACAGTTTGTACAGAAGGCTTGGAAACGAGAGAGTATGGTGTGCTGAAGTCCAGGACTGGAATTTAGGGTTTGAGAACACACTGAGAGTTCAGACTGGAAACTTGGTGGGGGCCAAACAGGGAGGGTCCTCATTTGTCCCATCAAGGAGTTTGATGTTCATCCTGAAGATTGTGGGGAACCACTGAAGGACGAGGAGACGGACTGTGCTTTAGGAGCTCACTCTGACCTCCATGTGGAAGACAAATCAAAGTTGGAAGGAAGGTGAATTGTTGTAATCTAACAGCCCAAATTACGGTATGGGGAAGGGCCGGATTTCAGATATCAAAGAGTGGATGAGGCGTGATGACCAGTTGTCTAACTGGAAGGGGAGGCAGAAAGGTTAGATGACAGTTTACAACAGCATCTTTCCATGAGACAGCGTAGCAGGAAGGGATTGGGGCTGGGGAGGGGATCTTAGTTCATCTTTAATGTTTTAAGAGGGTCCTATGGGGCATTCAAATGTGCCTGTTAGGTGAGTCTGGGCCCAAGATACAGATTTGGGCTTTGTGGGAGGACATGTTTAAAGGCATGGAAGGGACCTGTGTTACCCACAAAGAACACCCAGAAAATTATAGGTCTGAAAGGTGTTTTTTAAATGGATGGATTTGAATATGTTTATAAATTGAGGGAAAGTAGCCAGCTGAGATGGAAGGTGTGAAGATCTGGCAGAGGAAATGATTGTTGATTTAAAAAAATAAAAAAGGCTGACCACTTACGTGCCTGGCCCTTTTCTCAGTTTGAGTTACAACCATCTATTATCTCTTCTGCAAGGACAGTTCAGCACATCTGCTGAAAGAAGTCAAATTATTCTTTGCATCTCATTCAGATGTAGGAACTGTTCTGTGTCTCTGGAGGGACTTTAGTTACCCAAAGTAATAATAGAACTTGAAAGAAATTAAAGCTGGCGGGGACCTTAGAGTCAAGGCTAGTGTACTTGATCTGCCTAATATTTTTTTTCCTTTTTATTTTTTAAATTTCATTGGTTATGCATATTCATGGGGTACAAAGCTGCCCATCACCACTTGTGCTCAGGATGTCATGGCCAGATCAATACTATCAGCATGCTGATTACCACAAACTGTGATTATTCCCCATGTTCCCCACCCAATTAATCATCGACCTCCCTCCCCGCCCCCGCCAACCTTAGGTATGCTCTCTCCTTCTGCAAGTTCAACACACAATTGTGGTCTTTCTTTCCTTCCTTCTTTCTCTCTTAGCTCCCACTTATGAGTGAGGATATGTGGTATTTTTCCCTCTGTACCTGGCTTATTTTCTTCAACATAATTTTCTCCTGGCTCATCCATGTTGCTGCAAATGGCAGAATTTCATTCTTTTCTGTGGCATAGTAGTAGTCCATGGTGTATATATACCATATTTTCCTTATCCAGTCATCTGTTGATGGATGTTTAGGTTGGTTCCATGTCTTGGCTATTGTAAACAGAGCTGCAATGAACATGGGAGTGCAGGTATCCCCTTGACATGATGATTTCCATTCCTTTGGCTATATACCCAGAAGTGGGATGGCTGGATCATATGGAAGATCTATCTGTAGTTGTTTGAGAAACCTCCATACTGTTTTCCATAGTGGTTGTACTAATTTACAGTCCCACCAGCAGTGTAGGAGTGTTCCCTTCTCTCCACATCCTCACCAGCATTTGTTATTCTCTGTCTTTTTGATTATAGCCAGTCTAACTGGGGTGAGATGATATCTCAATGTGGTTTTAATTTGCATTTCCCTGATGTATTAGCATTTTTTTAAGTGCCTGTTGGCCATTTGTATGTCTTCCTTAGAAAAATGTCTGTTAGCTCCTTTGCCCATCTTTTAATTGGGTTATTTGTTTTTATACTGTGTAATTGTTTGAGTTCCTTTTGTATTCTGGATATTAGTCCCTTGTTGGATGTATGTTTGCAAATATTTTCTCCCACTCTGTAGGTTGTCATTTCACTCCATTGATTGTTTCCTTTGCTGTCTTGCCTAATATTTAATACTGAGTGAAAGAAAAATGTATTACAGACCATTTCTATTCAGTTAAGCTTCACTCAACCTTCTTTATTTCTTGCATCTAGTGGGTCTGAATTGTAGATTTTTGCCTCCTAGATATTGCTTGTTCATACTTAATTATGTTTTGCCTGGACTATTGCAGAAGCTCCTAGCTGCTTTTGTGCCCCTGACCTCAATTTCTGTCAGTTCATCTGCCTACTTTGGTTCGAGCAATCTTTCTAAAATGAAAAGATATGCTTAGAAGAATGCTTAAAGCAATTCACCCTCACAGGACCAGTGTGTGTTGGTTGCACAGCTTGTGCTCTGCACAGGGGCACTGAAATCTGAGCTGTGCTCTGCCAAGCCTCCTGTGGCTAGTTGGCCCAGAGGAAGGGGTATTTTTTCTGAATCTGTCTGAAGCAGGTACCTTTTTCTAATCATTTTCTTTATCTAATTTGTCCCCCAACAGTGAGGCACATTTTCTAACCTGCTAGGGGCACCTTTAACGTGCCAGTGCTAGCACAGCTGTGAGATAAAAGCCAGCTCTATCCCACGCTTGCTTCAGCCTTCCTCTCTGTTTTATTTTCCCACTGTTCTCCCACTACCCCTCTGGGCTTTAGTCATCGCCACCTGCAGTATTTACAGTGCCCAGCAGGTGTCAGGCTTGGATGCCTTTGCATATGCATCCAATATGACCTTGGCAGTGATTCTCATCTTTCAGAATTCAGTTTCGGGGCCATCTTGAAGTCATCTTTAGGTGCAACTTCTTTGCTTCCGTAAGAACTTCTACATACATAGTTGTGTTTTTGTATCTCATGTGGTTTTGGGTTTACATGTGCCCCTCTTTAAAGAAGACCTTAAGGACATGGGTCATTTCTGTGCCTTAGCACAGAGCAGATGCTTTTTGGTGATGATAAATTGTATGATTGAAATCACTAATTTTACAATAACTTTGCTTTAGGTTCTGACAAAAATAAAGTTTGCAGAAGTCGTGCTCCTGCAATAAGATCCAAAGATGTAACCTTCCAGTTATGTAAAGCTCTTAAAGGCTGTTTAAGTATATCAAGTGTGCTAATGAACCTGGAGCTAAATGGACTAATTCTGAGAGAGAGAGATTTAACTGTTTTAACAAAGGTAAGCTTTCTCTAATGTGGCCTGCAAATATTTGATTCTTGCTTTTAGGGAAAAGAAAAACTCAATTTTTAACTTTTTGTGCCTGTTAAAGGGATTGAATAAATCAGCTTCTTTGGTGCACCTGTCTCTTGCAAATTGTCCGATTGGAGATGGAGGTTTAGAAAGTAAGTTTAAATCTTGTTTAACTCTTGCCCCCTCAGACTGGTCTCATGATTCTCTCTGCATGCCATGTTAATTCCTGTCTGTACCTTTTTCTTGCTGCTGCCTCTATCTGGACTGCCTCCTGTGCCTGTTCAATCCATGGTCCTTCTACCATGAAAGCTTGTCTTGCTGAATACTCTCTGAACTAATTTTACTTAAGGTTGTGTAAAGCCACAAACCACACAAATATATGCTGTTTGGTATTCTCTGTTTTTTGTGTGTGTTCATCTTTTAGGGACTTTCTTCAAATAATATTTATGGGAAGGGCAAGTGGCAAGATATAAGAGGAAAAAATCATTATATTTAAATAGTTAAAATATTTATAGGCAATCAATTTTAATGCATTGTGGTATGTGCTAAACAGAATATGTATACAAAGTGCTATGGGAGCATATGAGAGGGCAGCAAACTCAGTGGGGGGGCGGGGTATAGAAGTGATCACAGAAGGTGGTTATTGATTGGGGATCCCAAAGCATTAGTGTGTTCATTGTGTGGAATAGTGGTCTGGAGGGGTAAGGAAGCCTGCATTTCAATGTGAGGGAACAGAGTTTGAGGTCCTCTATTTTCTGTTGCTCTAGTATATAGTTTAGACTTAAATTGCTGATTGATAATCAAGATTCAGGTATATCATTGCAAATGCAAATAGGAAATATCTTACTGTATGTGTGTGTGTCTCTGTGTGTTTTTTCTCTTTTAGTTATTTGTCAAGGTATAAAGAGCTCTATCACTCTTAAGACAGTCAACTTCACGGGGTGTAATCTGACATGGCAGGGAGCAGATCACATAGCCAAGATCTTAAAGGTGACTTTATACTTAAACTTGCATGAAAACTTATTTTGTGATTGAAGCACATTAATATTTTCTTACAAGATAGCAATAATTTTTGTCTTTTGATGCATATGGTGATTGCTGTTTTAGCTTTGTTGCAAGTATGTGACCAATTTTCAGCTTGGGGTTCTACCATTTATTTATTTATTTTTGGCAGCTGGGCAGTCCAGGGATCTAAACCCTTGACCTTGGTGTTCTCAGCACCATGTTCTCCCAAGTGAGCTCACTGGCCAGCCCATGGGTTCTACCTTTTAGTAAAAACTTAATCTTAGAAATAGATTTAAAATATAATACGTTATGAATAATACCTTTTGTGTGTTTTTAGTTGCTGAAGATGTTTACTGTGGAACTGAAAGAAACTTTATGTTATTACAGTCCTCAAATGACTTAAATGACTCAAATACTTACTGTTAATTATTGTAGTTTATAAACTTATAAAAATCACTACGTTAACATTTTGTAAATACAGTTTTTAAAACAATAATTTTAATGATGCCTTAACTTTATAGTGGTTATAACTACTATATTTAGGACTAAAGTGACCTTATAATTGGAAATGAAGCCTTCTTAATAGTTCGATGCTACAGATCAGGAATAGGCAAACTATGGCCTGTGGATCAAATCCAGCCCATCATCTATTTTTGCAAATAAAATTTTTTTTGGAACATAGCTATGCCTACTTCTTTACACAGTAACTATAGCTACTTTCACCCTACACCAGGAGAGTTTGAGTAGTTGGGAAAAAAAACTGTATGATATGCAAAGCTGAAAATGTTTACTGCTGGGTGTTTACAAGGCAGGTCCACTGACCCCTGGGATAAATAATGGTCAAGAACATAGATTCTGAAGCCAGATGGCCTAGGTTAAAATCCCAGGTCCTCTTTTAATACCTTGTGACCATGGACAAATTATTTAACCTCTCTGTGCCTCAGTTTCCTCATCTGTAAAATAATGTGTAATAAAACCTATTACATCTATTATTCTGAGGATTAAATGAACTAATTTGTATAAAATAGAGCCTGGCACATAATAAGTGCTATGTAAATGTTTGCTGTTATTTCCTGATGCTGCTTTTATACACTTATTCTTAGTAGAAAAACAATACTAACAATTTTCCTTTTAGTGTGTTATAGGAGCTTTCAGTCTTATTGTTCAAGAATGTAATAAGATTTTTTTTTCTTTTACAGTCAGTGTTTCCTGTTACCAAAATTTGCTTTACGAATATAGAGAACTGATTATAATTAGTCTTTATGGTTAAGAATCAAACCATCAATTTTGTAAGGCATATCAAACTGGCTTTGCATGTTCCAGGCCTCTGAAGTTGGTGTGCATACCCTAAGAAGTATGTGAGATCTATTGAGTTAGAAGAAAACAGTAGAACCTCTATATTTATTTTAGTATCATCGAAAAATATCTGTTGTTTGTGTATAGTTTATAATGTACATAAAATATGTGTTTAGAACTTTATGTATATAATTTATTAATAGATAAGATACATGCTATAAAAATGTTTACTTGTAGGATGCCCAGTCGAGGGTTTGGAGACCACTAGATGACAGAATGATAGAATTTGAAGGCTCAGCAGTGATAGAATTTAGAATGAATTCCTTTTTTTTTTGGCCCATAATCAAAACTTTATGGAAAAACTAACACCAAAATAGGAGACCCCTGTCGAGGGTTTGGAGACCACTAGATGACAGAATGATAGAGTTTGAAGGCTCAGCAGTGATAGAATTTAGAATGAATTCCTTTTTTTTTTTGGCCCATAATCAAAACTTTATGGAAAAACTAACACCAAAATAGGAGACCCCTGTTGTATATTTTAGAAAATCAAATATAATTACATTATTTTGGTAGAGTAACTAGAATTACTGAACTTATTATAAGGTTTTCTGTAAGATAACACAAATTCAGGAAGTTATATGGATCATTAGTGTTGCTTTCTTCTAAATGAACACCCTTCTGTGAGTCTAGCCTTCCCTCCTATAGGCTGGCACAACACTGTTGAACAACCTACACAAAGAACTACTGTCTGAGCATGGCTGAAAACTGGGGTAATCTTGTAGCAACCTGGACATTTCACATCTATGAAATAAGAATTTGGACTTTGAACTAGCCATTTCTTTTTATGTTTTTTCTTTTCCTCTTCCAAGGATGGATATAGTAAATCTCTAGCCAAAGGCATGTTGACCCTTTTGCAAGCCCAACCCATCCAGATCTTTCAGGCAACACCCTTGGCGAGCAGCACATGATTGGGCACTTGGCACCGACTTCTGAGATAGAGGAGACTGGGTTAGAACCAACTCCTTTACTTGGCAGATAAGGAGCATAAAATTATTAGGTGGTAATTGAGTTATCAGTTAACCTAACTTATTGGCCACAGGTCACCTAGTGGTGAGAGTCACACAGTCAGTGGCAAACTAGGATCTGGGTCACTGGATTCCTAAACCAGAATCTTCTGTTTAATCTCTCAGATTGACTCCTAGCGTATGCGAGTATACTTGGTGTGTGTGTAAAGCTGTGATATAATCAGCCATATTTAGCTTCCTTATAGTTTCTGTTTCCTAATTCAAGTGTTTTAATTTCATCCTATTAAATCTTTGAAGTATCAGACAATGAGAAGATATGAAGAAACCTGGGCTGAGAGTCTTCGCTATAGGAGACCTGACCTTGACTGTATGGCTGGCTTAAGGCGTGTTACGTTGAATTGCAACACACTCATTGGTGACCTAGGTGCAAGAGCTTTTGCAGATGCTGTTAGTGAAGATTTATGGCTAAGAGGTAAGTTAAATGGATTTCTAAAAATGAAAATATTGAATTTTTAATATTAAATATACTTAAGTTCTTGACACAGTAATGCTATCATAGGATTTTTTTAAAGCCTCTTTTTTTCTAATAGTTTTTATTGTGCTTTTAAACTTTTGCAAAAGTTATTTATATTCTTTATAGAAAATACGGAGTAACAAGAAAACAATATTACCTGTAATCTTAATACCCAGAGATAACCACTGTTCATTTCGGCATTTATACTTTCAGTCTTTTTTTTTTTTTTTCCCTGTAGATACAAGAGGTCTTCGAAAAGTTCATGCAACAATTCACATTACTTTTTAATTCCACTTTTCCATGAACTTTTTGAAGTACCCTCATCTATTTGTACACGTCAGATTACTTTTTAATTCCACTTTTCCATGAACTTTTTGAAGTACCCTCATCTATTTGTACACGTAGATATTATAAAAATAGAATTATAGTATACTTACTATTTTGTAACCCTACTTTTTTCACTTAGCGATGTGTCATGCAGTATTCCATTATATTGATGCACAATTGTTTAATTAGTTTTCTGCTGTTTGATATGTAGACAATTTGCACTTTTCCCTTTTGTAAACAGCTGTGTAGAAAAACACCTTATGTATACATCTCTGTGTCCATTAGAGTTACTTCTGTAGGATAAATTACTACAAGTGGAATGACTTAGTATAACATGTTTTTAAAGACTTTTGATATATGTCACCAAATTGCTTTCCAGAAAAACGGTGCCATTTTATAGTCCATGCTATCAGTGCACCCTCATAAACACTGAATTTTGCCAGTTTTAAAACTTTAAACTTTATAAAATGAGAACCCCCCTCCCTTTTTTATTGCAAGTGGGATTGCTTTCTAAATTTTATAACCTTTTTCACTCAATATTGCATGAGCATCTTAACAAATCAATAAATTTACATTTGCCACGTTATTTTTAGTGACTTTTCAGAGTTCCATTACATCGATATACCATTATACACTTTACGCACTTCTCTTAGGTATGTAAGCTATTTCCAGTTTTTCACTTTATAAACAGTACTTTGATACACATCCTTGCCCACATTTCTGAGTTTTTCCTGTGGGTAAATTTTTAGAAGGAGAGTTGCTGGGTTAAAAAGGATATATATGTTTTAAAGGTTTGTTATATGATCTTGACCTAATCTGATAGAAGAACAATCACATTTCATTGATTTAATTTGTATTCATTGGATTTACTAGTGAAATTTACTGGCTATTTTTATAAATTTAGCTAGCTGGATGATTATATCCTATTCTCATTCTTCTGTGGTCAGAGTGTGTAAGGGTTGCACCATATTCTCTGTAAGATGACTATATCTGACTTAGGATTTCTGCGTGTCATGGGGTGTCTTAGTCAGTTTGGGCTGCTATAACAGAATACCATAGACTGGGCGGCTTACACAACGGACATTTATTTCTCACAGTTCTGGAAGCTGGGAAGTCCAGTATCAAGGCACTGGCAGATCCTGTGTCTGGGTAGGGGGCTTTTGCTTTTCCTGGTTTGCAGATGGCTTTCTCTTTGTATCCTCTTATGGCAGAGAGAGAGAGCTCTAGTCTCTTTCTCTTTCTTATAAGGACACTAATGTCAACATGGGGATTCTACTCTCAAGAGGTCATTTAAACCTAATTACCTTTTAAAGAACCACCTCCTAATACCATCATATTGGGGGTTAGTGTTTCCAAGTATGGATATTCAGGGGACACAAACATGCTGCCTGTAACATGGGGTTTTGAAAGATTTCATTTATTTGAAAGTAATGGTATACAGGGTGCTTAAAAATAGGGTCATATTGGGCTGGCCTGTTAGCTAAGTTGGTTAGAGTCCAGTATTCTAACACCAAGGTCAAGGGTTCAGATCCTCAAACTGGGCAGCCATGCACAAAAAACACTCATGATATTTTCCTCTGATGTAATCTTTTTTATATTTGTTCTTTTGTGGTGATCCCTTTAGGTTTAAATGAGTAGATTGTTCAACCTTAGTATTTATCATTTGTTCTGTTCTTTGAGAATTCTTGACCATCATTTTTTCCTCATAGGTTTTTAGCATATCATCTCTATGCACACATTCTTTGGTCTTGTTATTCATTTATCTTCAGACTTCTTTGTCATTTTTGTTCTGAAACTAACAGTTCTTACTTTTCCTCTATTTCCTTTTCTCTTTTTTAACATAGTTTTTTGAGAGTCATTGGGGCTCAAGATCATGATCCAAAGAATGCAGTGCAATTTCTGAGCTCCACCGAGTTTTTGCTTGTGAAGTTTACACTGCCTCTAGCATCCTTGCTGTTCATCCTGTGATGTTTTTCTCTTGTGGAGTATAGTAGATTGAATTATGTCCCCCCAAAACTCACTTGACGCTTGAATTGTGACCCCCAAGTTTTATGTATTAGAAACTTAGCCCCTACTGTGACTGTTAAGAGGTTGGGAAATCCTATTATGGTAATTGAAAGGTGGAGGCTTGAAGAGGTGATTGGATTGTAGGACCATGCAGTAGTGAATGGATTAAAAATGGTGGTCAGGGGCATGGTTCTGAGGGCTTTAAAAGAAGAGGAGAGTCTGTCTTGCTCTCTCTCTGCTTCTACCATCTTACAATGTGAGACCCCTGGGTCTCTGTCGCCACGACCAGATGGACTTTGGACTTCCCAGCCTCAAAAACTGTAAGCAATAAATTTCATTTTCTTTATACATCACCCCATTCCATGTATTTTGTTATAAGCAACAAAAACAGACTAATACAGAAAATTGGTACCAGAGAAGTGGGGTGTTGCTTTTAACAAATACTTGAAAATGTGGAAGCAGCTTTGGAGCTGGGTGTTAGGCAAAGTTTGGAGGAGTTTGGAGGACTCAGAAGAAGATAAAATGACGAAGGAAAGTTTGGAATGTCTTTGAGACTGGTTACATGGTGGCGAGCAGAATGCTGATAGAAATGTGGACTGTAAAGACCATTCTGAGGGGGTCTCAAATAGAAATCAGAAGGAGTTTATTGGAAACCGGAGCAAAGATCACTTCTGCTGTGAACTGGAAAGGAACTTGGCTGCATTGTGTCCACGCCCTCAGACTTTGTGGAAGTTGGAACTTAGGAGTTGTGAACCAAAGTACTTGGCAGAAGAAATTTCTAAGCAGCAAAGCATTAAGGAGGCTGTATGGCTACTTGCAGCAGCCTATGCTGAGTTATGGCAGCAAAGGCATTGATGTAAAGCCAGAATTTAAAAGGGAAGCACAGTGTAAAGATTTGGAAAATTTGCAGCCTGACCATGTGGTAGAGAAGCAGAGAGCGTGCAATGGTGCAGCCCAGCGACCATTAGCTAAGAAGATTAGTGCAAAAGAAAAGGATTATCAAGAGAAGGAGAAAAAGGCCCTGGAGGCATTGCAGAAGCCTCTGGAGCCAACCCTTCCATTACAGGCCCAAAGACCTAGGGAGACAAAATGATCTTGGGGAACAAGCCTGAGGCGCCCTCCACAGGTTCGCTGCCCAGGGCCACCTTGGGAAGCTGCTTCCAGCACCAGAACCTCCATTGCTTTGGCTGCTCCAGCAGTGGCTAAATTGGCCCCAGGTTTGGCTGGACCCACAGCTTTGGGAAACAAGCTGGAAGTCTTGGCGGCATCCATGTGGTGTTAGGTCTGCAGGCTCACAGAATGCCAGAGCTGTGAAGGCTTGGGAGCCTCCACCCCGATTTCAAAGGATGTATGGAAAAGTGTGGGGGCCCAGGAAGAGATCTGTCACAGGGACAGAGTCACCACACAGAGCCTTTGCTAGAGCAATGTCGAGTGGAAACGTGGGGTCAGAGTTGCAGCAGAGAAACCCCAACAGTACCATGTCTAGTGAAGCTGTGAGAGCGGAACTGCCATGGAGACCTTAGACATGTGGAGCTACCAGAGTGGAGCCCCAGCCTGGGAGAGCTGAAGTGTGGCCTGCAACCAGGAAAGCCATAGGAGCAGAGCTGCCCAAGGACTTGAGGATCCAACCCCCACACCAGCGTGCAGAGGAGGTCAAACATGGAGTCAAGGTATATGATTCGCCAGCTTTGAGATTTAATGCCTGCCCTGCTGGGTTTCAGACTTGCTTGGGACTTGTTACCCCTTTCTTATGGCCTATTTCTCCCTTTTGGAATGGGAATATATACCCTATATTTGTCCCACCATTGTACCTTGGAAGTAGATAACTTGTTTTGAATTTCACAGGTGGGACTTTGAACTTTGGACTTTTGAATTGAAACAAGTTAAGACTTTAGGGGCGGAATGAATGTATTTGTATGTGGAAAGGACATGAGTTTTGGGGGGCCAGGGATGGAATGTAGTGGATTGAATTATGTCTCCCCAAAACTCACTGAGGCTTGAATTGTGTTCCCCAGGTTTTATGTATTAGAAACTTAGCCCCCACTGTGACTGTTAAGAGGTTGGGAAATCCTATTATGGTAATTGAAAGGTGGAGGCTTGTGGAGGTGATTGGATTGTAGGACCATGCAGTAGTGAATGGATTAAAAATGGTGGTCAGGGGCATGGCTCTGAGGGCTTTAAAAGAAGAGGAGAGTCTGTCTTGCTCTCTCTCTGCTGCTACCATCTTACAATGTGAGACCCCTGGGTCTCTGTCGCCACGACCAGATGGACTTTGGATTTCCCAGCCTCAAAAACTGTAAGCAATAAATTTCATTTTCTTTATACATCACCCCATTCCATGTATTTTGTTATAAGCAATAAAAATGTACTAATACATGGAGTTACTTTTCAACTCTGTAATTGTAAAATATGTTGGATGATTTATTTGTACTTAAAGGAGGATAATCATGGCAATCTAAGAAGAGTGGTGGTTTTTTTTTTTTTTTTTAAATTTTGGATTGTGTGTGTATATGTTTTCTTGTTTTAATTTTTTCAATACCCAAGATTAAAAACCTGACATGATTGGATTAGGGGCATAAAGAGTAAGTATGATTTGTAACAATGAATAGGCTAATAAAAAATAAATTAAAAAAATAAAAACTTGTCATGACTAGTCTTGTACAGGAATCTTCCAGGTGTGAATAAATGAGTGTTCTTTATATGTTAAATTTGTATGGAGTTGCCAAGTGACCTTTTGTCTTTCATCAAAAGCACTTGACCTGCAACAGTGTGGCCTTACCAGTGAAGGAGCAAAGGCTTTACTGACGGCGCTTGAAACCAATAGAACTCTGGTTGTTCTGGATATAAGAAAAAATCCACTCATTGGTATGTCACCTCTCTTTTTTTATTGAGTAACAAATAGCAAAACAAAAAGAACTTAATTATGTAATGACAATTTTTAAAACTTAATGTTTATTTTCCTATTCTCATACTTTTCTAATCTTGCACTTTCTTATGTTTTTAGCAGACAATTTACTGATTAAAGTGGGTTGTACTTGTAGATTCCTCTTGGCTGCTATTCTGAATAGAGGGGAACCTAGATAATAAACCTGCTTCCACCAAGGGCATTATTTCTTTTTTGTGAAACCTCTGAATTCTTGGAAAGAGTATTTCATTCATTTGTTAATTTGACAAGTAATTTTTAAATACTTCAATGTGCCAGACACTAGTTTAGGCACTTAGCATATAGCAGTGAACCAGCTAGACAAAGTCTTGCCCTCCTGGAGCTTACATTCTAGTGGGGGAGTTTAGATAAATGAATTAACAGATAAGTAATGTAATTTTAGATAGTAGCAAGTACAAAAATGGCTTAAAGTAAAAAGATAGATGGGGGTAGGTGGGACTACATTAGATAGGTTTGATAGGGGACAGCTTCACTGGAGAAGTGACATTTGAGCAGAGACCTGAGTGAAGAGAGAAACAAGCCATGGAAGGTACAGGGGAAGTACATTCCAGTACTAGAAAGCAATGAATATGGAGGCACATAGGCAGCAGGGTGGGTGGAGTGTTTAAGGAAGAGCAAGGAGGCCAACATGTTTGGAGCACTGAGTGAGAGAGAGCCTGATATGCTGTGAGATCAGACAGCAAGCCAGGGGCCTGATCTTGTAAGGTCTTGAAGGCTAGGGTAAGGACTTGGACTATTCTAAATGAGCTGAAAGCCATGGGAGGGTTTTGAGCTGGAAACAGGCATGATCAGAGGAGTGTTTCAATCAGATGACTACAGTGTGGAGAATAAACTTGTAGGGGGTGATAAGGGAAGCAGGGAGGTCAGTTAGACTATCCTGGTGGTCCAAGTGGGAGATGGTAATGGTTTAGCTTAGGGTGAAAGGTTGGAGGTGGTGAAAAGTGGTTGAAGCAATGCTTAGTTATCAAGACTTGCAGATCAGTTAGGTGTGGGGTATGAAGGAAATAGTAGTTTTAAGAAGTCCTACATGATTCTGTGTACAACTGCATGACCATTTACTAAGAAAAGGAGGTTGGGGAGAGCAGCTTGGAGGGTATACCAGAACTTCGGTTTGGATATATTGGATGCTTCAGGTGCCTAAGTGTCTGGACAGTGTACAGGCTCTTGGTTTTCTATCCAAAGGTACCCAAAGCCACATTAGATCCAAAGTGTTTAGATTTGATCACTGCTGTCATAATAGTAGCCATTAGGGGCAATGTGTAAGACGGCACACTTTCATTTTACATTTTAGAGGAAGAAGTTGGAGTATTCAAAGGGGAGAATCAGTATATAATTACATAATGTGGATTTCGTATTTAATTTTATGGGAAAAGCAATAATTAGTTGGCTTTTGTTTTTAAATGGGAATAACCACTCATTGGGAAACAATTACTATAATTTCAATTTCATTTTACTTTAGATCATTCTATGATGAAAGCAGTTATCAAAAAAGTTCTCCAGAATGGAAGGAGTGCTAAGTCAGAGGTATATAACATGTTTAAGTCCTCTACAAATAATTACTCTTTACTTGCTTGTTTTTCTTCTGTTTTTAATAAAATAACATTGTCTAGGCACTTTTCTGCCATCTTAAATTAAGTTTTCAGTCAAATCAAATGGCTCTTCTGTTTTTGACAATATTGTATGATTCTTTAATTTGGGGTCCTGAAACTGCAGATTGTAAACTTTTTATTAACTTATAATATCTTAATAGTTTCTGGTTAAGATCAAATCCTCATAAATTACTTGTAATTGAAACGAATGTTTATTATCTCTCTTCCAGTACCAGTGGATAACTTCTCCATCAGTGAAGGAACCATCCAAAACTGCTAGACAGAAAAAGAGAACTATAATTCTAGGAGGTGGTCGAAAAGGAAAAGCTACTATTCGAATTGGTAACCCTTTATGTCTTGGCTTTTTAATGCTACTAGAACTTATACCCTTTATGTGTTCCAGGGTGTTAAAATTCAGATCTCTTCTCATTGTATGTTGACAATAACAATCAATATTGACTTCATGCATATTGTGAGGACTATAATTGTTCTGATTCAGGTTATGAGAATTTATGGAATGTAGAAATAGTAAATGAGTCAGGAAAGAGACGTTAGTATTTCCATTTTTTAAATTAACCATTTTTATTGTTTGTCATCAAATGTTCATCATTTTGAATATGTTTCCTGGTTGGTGATTATTTCTAATATTTTTGCAGTTGAAATTTGGGTTGCACTTTGATGACAGTTTTAACAGTGCTTTTTAGTAATTTTTTTTAAATGAAGAATTACCCTTTCATGTTGTTGGAAACAAAATTTCTTCCTAGTTTCATTTTTTCCATTTGTTCCTTCTTGGATTTCCTTGCAAATTCTTACTCAAAGTTACTGAATCAGGTAATACCTTGATTCTTTCGATGATGGAAAAAACTTAAGATATGTATGTGTTCCTTATGAAACAATGCTGCAAATGAGTTTATTGACCCTTGATGGAACATTTTAGAAAAACATTTTCTAAATGTTTGCTATAATGTATATTTAATCTTCCAAGTAATAGTTAATCTAGAATTTAAAAATTAAGTCGATAATTTTGTGATCAAGTATAATGAAAAAAAATCTTCTTTATAAAACTTTTTAACCACCAGTGGCATAAATTTCACATTCTCCTGAATACATAAATTTGATATAACCTAATTCTACTGATATATTTGTATTATTTGTAAAGAGTTCTTAACCTCTATTTTCTAGAACACATTATCTTTAGCCACAAATAAACATTTTTTTGTTATAAAAAGGAATGACAGAGTGGAATAAGTTGAACCAAATCTAATATGAAAGTGAGCTTCTCTTGTAAGTAACTTTGAATTTTGAAACAGTAAAACCATGAGGACTGATATAAAGGAAACAAAATAAATTTTTAATGTTTATAATCTGCCAATTTCCCAGAAAAAGGTTTGTGGTGACTTCAGTTATGTACCAGATACATTAAGATGACCAAACAATTAACAACAAATAATCTATTATTTGGATGGTATCTGAAATTTTTTTAAAATGTTGTTTGACTTAATACCACTGAATTGTATATTTAGAGAAGGTTAACATGGAAAATTTTATTTTATGTGTATTTTAGCACAATTTTTAAACAAGGTGTTTTCTGAAGATTTTTATTTAGGTTTTACAAAGGTATTGTGTTATCATAACAATTGAAATAAAAATAAAAACCACCTCCAATTCCATCATCCTATTGAGCAATTTTTACATTTTTGTTGTCTCTGCCTATTGTTCTTTTCTTTTTTTTTTTTGGTAGCTAGACAGTACAGGGATCTGAACCCTTGACCCCTTGGTGTTCTATCACCACACTCCAACCAACTGAGCTAACCAGCCATCCTCCTCCTATTGTCTGTAAACATAATTTGACATAGCTTAGATATAATTTGGCATTCTTTTTTCACTTCTTATTAAATTAAAATTTTATATCATTCATTGTTATACTTTTTAATGCCTTCACAAGGTTTTCTTTTGTTGATGGGTCAATATTTTAAATGGGTGAAAAATTGGAAATAACCTAAATATTAAATTTTTAAAAAAATGCTGCTATAAATGTCTTCATAAATAGAACTTCTTGTTTTTACTATAGAAAATGTGTTTCTGATTCACCACTAATCAACTTGTTTGTAGTAAATAGTAGTAAATGTATTAGTTAAGAGTGTTTATTAAATCGAAAGAAAGGTAAGATTTGTCTACCAATTTTTATTTCAGAACAGTGATATTTTAGTAGTTGATTAAATAGTATATATGAGAAATAAGTTGAGATTTGTGACATCACACTAATTATGTATTATTATTGAAAGTTTATATCATGTGCAAACCATTCTTAAAAGTACCAAAGTTGGTATTTTTATATAATAATATAAATAGAAGTAGAAAAGAATATATAAAACATATTACAAATTCTGTAATTTTCATAGCTGGTGGTATGTAACAGGGCAGCATGGGATGAGAATAAAAATGAAAACTTCGTTCTTAGCATGATCAAAGGAAGTGGAAATGTGACTGAAGATTACAAGCTCACTGAGTGATTTTAAGAGTAATTTTTTTTCTTGGGCCTTTTTTTTTGTGTGTGTTTGCCTCAGTTATTTGGAGACATAGAGGTAAGCCAAATCAGTGTCTGGCTGTATAATCAGGTTTTAGTAGTATAGCAGTAAAATAATTTATGTGAATTGTCACATTCATATTGTAAATTCTGTGTGCAGAAAGAAGATAGGAACTTTTATTAGAATTTTTTTTTCATTTCCTAACAAGATAAGTATAAATTCTTTTGGTTTTAATTAAAAATATATTTGCATTAGTTTCTGAAAGTGAAAGAAAAGGTATACACACACAATACACAGGAACATTCTTTGTTTGAAGGTAATTAGGTTAAAAAAAAAATGAAATAGCACAAGGGGATGAGTGGAACTCCTATGAGGCATGTAAATTTACCCAGAGAAATCACACAGGACCATGTGGTGACTATTAATTAATTACACTGTACGAAATACTTGTTTTGTCCTACCCTGTGCACTTTGTTTTAGATGCCATCCTAGGCTGGTAAAGTAGATCTTGTATAGTAAAATAGACTGGAAGGATAAATATAATCATTTTAATAAACCTATGCTATTTGTTCTCAGTAATATTAGAGACAATTATTTAAATGTGAATTTTAATGTGGTTTCTTCTAAATAAAGTATCAATATGTAGGTCTAGCTTTTGCTACCAAATATTTCATATAAAGATACTTGATCCTGTAATATTGAAATGTAGGGTGTCCCTACGTTTCATTCTTTTATCCAGTAGATTTTATTTATTTCTTTTGTGTTTTCTGTGAAATCAGGTGAGCACTGAAGGTCGAAAGATTTATAGGAGGGTAACATTGACTCACCTACCACCCAGCAAGCTTCAGTTTTATAACTTTTTATAACTTGGTAGTTTTTACATAGTAAAATTAATCTTAAATTGAAATTTTGGTCTAATTCAGAAGCTCGTTTGGCAGGAGTCATGGGTGTATCTATATTTACCTGTCCTTGTGATTCACAAATGCCAAAGATGTTCTGAGATTGAATAAATTGAATATTTTGGCATGATACATAATGAAATGTATTATGTACAGTCTTTAATTCTTTGGGATATATTTTTTGTTTACTTTTGCATGTTCTGCACTTTGCATATACTCAATTTATCTTTTAGTTAAAATGATAACTTGTTACTGTAGAGAACTTATATTTTAAGAAATTGCTGGCCTATGTAAAAAAGACCTTTACAAATTGATCCAGTTTTTAATGGCCTTGGTATCATTGTCAAGTGCCCATTTGTATTTTTTTGAGTATGCACATGTGATAATTTATCTGTAGACCTTTAGTGTATCTTGAGTCTTTCTTTTTAACACTTTCTCAAACATAGGATTTGCTACAAAGAAACCTGTAAGTAGTGGAAGAAAACACTCCCCTGGTAAAGAATATGGTGCTCCTGAACCTCTGCCACCTGGTGTGTCTGGTTTCTTGCCATGGCGTACTGCAGAACGTGCAAAAAGGAGCAGGTAGAGTCTTTTTATTCCCTATATTTTAGTCATTCAGAATTCCTTATTTTGAAGCTTCTGTTATGTGGGAGTCCTCTGGTTGTTTCTATCGGGAGAGAAGATGACTCATACATGGCTTCTGCCTAATAAGTCCTTTAAGGAAGGAAAACAAAAAAATAATTATAATTAGGAGTTTCAGATTATTTCTTAAATGTCACAACAAGTTGGCACACTGCGAGTCCAGAGGAGACAGAAATTATCTCCAATTGGGCAGGTGAGAAAGGTTTCATTAAAAGCATGTATAGTTGATCCAAGCCATACAGGACAGAAGTAGGAATTTGGTTATATAGGAATGGGGAAAAGGGCATTTCAGGCAAGGGAAATAGTTTAGTAAAAAATGAATAAGTATGGGTTAGACTCAGTCAACCAGCCTAACTCTCATTTTAGTGAATTATATTTCTTGAATCAAACTAGATTTAACTAGTTTCACCCAATTACTTACCCAGGGCATAGCTGTTCATAGTAATTTTTGTCCAAAAAATTGACAATTTTAAGTTGTGCTATAATTTTAGGCTTGTTAGATCAATTAGATTACTATAGATTATTTTCAAGTGACTGACTTGGTAGTATTCAAGAAATTGGGGATTAACAATTGCTTAAGAAAACAAAGAGAATTAATTTTAAATAGGACTGGAAATAGGTGCTCTGTGAAATATTTGTTCAGTTGCTCCCATTAAATTGATGTGTATAATCTTCATTTGTCAACTGACTGCTATACTTTTCTCAAATAGTAATGTGAATTATTATTGTATAAGTTATTATTGTAGTGCTGAGGCCCCAATCTTTACACTTTAGGTTTACAATTGTGTGGTTTCATATTGTCTTGTTGGGACCTGTATTAGTCTCAAGTCCATCCTGGTCAAAAGGAGTTGTAAGTTAGATAGCAGTTATATCACCAGTTAAAGAAGTTAGACTGGAAATCTCAACCATGATGAACAAAGGAACTGAATGTGTCTCTCAGCTGTTTAGAGCAGTTTAGAATGTGTTTCAGTTAGTTTAGAAAGTTATCACCAAGACATCCTATTAAATTCTGTTCAGTTTTCTCTATAGCAGAGCCTTTCAGGTCCTTATTTTGAGGTTATTTATTTCTATACACAGTTCTATATAGATAGTGTACATAATACTAATAAGTTTTATAACCTGATGTTAAATGATTGTGTATTTACATCAAGATGTGACTTAATTTGTTGCTATCTCTTTAGGGGTTTTCCATTAATCAAAACTCGTGACCTATGTAATCAGATGCAGGTATGTAGTTGTCTTATTTATAATATATAGGGGGTTATAGTGGGAAAGGGGGAAGGTCATTCTCTGTGCTTTTTAAACTGAACAGAGCCTTACAAAAAACATTTTCCTCCCTGAAGTAAATCCACTTAAAACTTTCCAGGCTGCTCTCCCAATGCCATGAAATAGTTGTGTGGATATGGCACAAGCCGGGGCCTGTGGTTTCATCTGTAGACAAGGAAGCCATTTCTCTAGTCCACAATTCAGCTGTTGCCCAGTGAAACAGATTTGACCACCATTTCAGACCCGACCCATGGAGCTATCATGCCTAAGAATTTCCTTAAGTTTTCAAGAAATGTTGTGTTTGGAATACATTATATATATGAATTCCAGATCCTAAAGCCAAATCAAAGCAGCAAATCCCAAAGGCTCTGCTTTCTCAGAGGATTTCTTCCTTCCTCACCAGGACCACATACTTCCCCGCCATACTGCCTCATGGTCTTGGAGCAAGCTAATTCTGTCAGAGGATCAGGTTCTCCTTCCCAGTTGTCCTGGCAGACTCTAATTTCTCTGTAAAAGCCAGCACTACTGAGATGGAGAGAAGAGCACGCTGGGTTGTCAGTACTACCCCGTGCATGCCCCAAAGTAGTGGCATATGTCTCATTCTACCACTGAGGATTTCCCTGTACTGCAAGGTTTGCGGCTTGTGGTTGAAATTGTATCCTAGTGACTTGTCTTCTGTATAATTATGTAATCTCAGCATTCTTATTTTTGATCTATAGACTTTTATGGGATTGTGACTAGGTCAGTTTTTAAGTGTTCGGAAACATTGAACAGTATTTCAGTGGTGGCGAAACTTGACTAGAGAATTGTATGGTTACTACACTAGTTTTGGCTTAAAGATGAGAAGATGAGGTTTTTGATGGGTCAGTTTTAGTTGTGTATGTGTATGTGATTTATTAAAAAAAATTCTAATCTTTATTAGTCACAGTTTAGCTATATTGACTTTCTAGTTATGTGTCTAATTCTTTATCAGTCCCCTATTGATGGATCCCTGCCCCTCCCCCCCCCACCACCAATTTTACTTTCTTTCAGACTCATTGTGTCTGATGGTGGAGAATAAATTTCTTGTCTTCAGTATAAAGTTGATCTGACAAAAAATGTTTACCCTGACTGTTCACTTGGTTTATGTGAAAGCAGTTTAAAATAATACGGGCAATTCCAAATATTAATCATAATCATGTATGACAGAATTCTGTACATTGACACAGCAAGAATAAGTTAGTGTCATTTTACTTGGTTATTGATTGTTCAAGGCTAAGGAGTAGTGAAAGACAGGTAATGACTTGATACTTCAGAAAGATCACTTTGATTAAGGATGTCCTTTAATATTTGATATTTGGTTTATATTATTACTTATACAATCTTGTCCTCTTTCTTTAAGCAACCAGGTTTTCCTGTGACTGTGACAGTAGAGAGCCCTTCATCGTCAGAAATTGAAGAGGTTGATGATTCTTCAGAAAGTGTTCATGAAATGCCTAAGAAAACCAGTTTAAAACAGGAAGCATTACAGGTACAAAGCTGTCAGAAGATTATTTCAAACTCTAGTTGGTATTTGGTGGAAGCTTAATTATGTGAACAACACGGACAGCTGGCATGGGGATTTCCCCTCCCTTCTATCTCGTATCCCCTTGAATGGTTCCTTATCTCAGAACAAGGTGAAAGAAGGACGTTAGAACTCTAATGAATAAAAATCAAATGTGTCATCAGTAATATATTTTCCTTTTCTTAGAATCATAGAATATTAGATTTAGGGAGAACCTTAGTGATCATAGGAAATTGAGTACTGAATGAGTGTGGTGTAGTCAGCTGACTCAGTGTTCTGATTTCACAGACCAGGAAGCGGATGGTTCCAGCTGAACGCTCCTTTTATAAGAGGAAAATATAATTTTGTTTTTAATAAAACTAAAGTGGAAAAAAGTTTTGATATTGATATTCTCCTTTCATAAGATAAAAAAATTTCAAGAAGGTACACTATATTTAGTTTTATAAACTGGACATTAAATGTCAGCTCATACTTCTATGTTCGTGTGGACAGAAAAGAAAAATCAATTTTTATAGCAAATTTTTGTACCTCAAAAATACTGTGTTTATTTTATTTCAACTTTAATGGAGAACTGATAATTTGTAGTAAGGGAAACATCATTTTGGGAGGCCTTGTCTCTTTTTTAGGTGCCACAAGTCCACATTTAAGTTTTAAAAATATGATTTTTAAAACTTAAAAATATGGATCCCTGTACTGGGCAGCCGTCAGAATAAATAAATAAATAAATAACTATATGATTTTCTTTTGATATGAAACTTACTGTTCTTTCAATATTATTTTTATAATGTAAAAATAGTTATCCCTTTTATTTTATTTTTGGCTTATACAACAGAAATTTTTTTTCACAGTTCTAGAGGCTAGGGAGTCTAAGATCCAAGCTCTGGCAGATTCAGTGTCTGATGAGGACCCACTTTCTGGCTCACAGAAGGCACCTTCTTGCTCTGTTCTCACGTAATGGAAGGGCTGTTATCCCATTTTTATACGTACAACTATGGAAATCACTATTTAATTTTCAAAAAGGAAAAACATTTTCTCTTTTTAATAAAAATT